TTGTCTTTCTTTTTGATTATAGCTACCTAGTGTGAGTGTGTGAAGTGATGTCATTGTGGTTTTGAGTTATTTCTCTAATGTTGAGCATCTTTGCATGTGATTATTAGCTGGGTTTATATTTTTTTAGGAGATATGTCTTTCAAACCCTTTGCCCGTTTTCAAATTGGGTCATCTTTTCATTATTGAGTTACGAGTTCTTTATACATTCTAGCTGCAAGTTCAGCATCAGATAGATGATTCGCAAGTGTTTCCTCCCATTCTGTGTCTTTTTTACTTTATTGGTGGTGTCCCTTGAAGCGCAAGAGGTTTTAAATTTTGATTAGGTCCAACTTACCAGTCTCTCTTGGGCTTTTGGTGTCTTATCTAAGAAACCATTGCCTAACTAACCCAAGATCATTAAGATTGACTTCGATTTTTTCTTTTTTCTCTTGAATTTAGGTCTCTGATACACTTGGAGTTAATTTTTGCATATGGTATGAGGTATAGGGGTTCAGGCTCATTCTTTTGTGGTTGTTCCAGTACCTGTTTTGAAAGGACTATTATTTCATTTTGTCCATAAATGTATGGATTTATTTCTGGATTTCTTTCCTTCATTGATCTATATGCCTGTCTTTATGACAGTACCACACTAACTTGATTACTGTAGCTAGACTGTCTCAGCCCCTCTTGCAGTTTTTTCCTTCACTGTCCTAGAATTCCCAAGTTTTATCCAGACTGGCAGCGTTCGTGTGTCATCACAGATGCTGTATCTTATCCTTGACTGAGTCATCTGAGCCTGCGTGGATACAGAGGAGTCAGAATATAAATGCTCCATCTCTTCATTTATTTCATTCGTTATGAATACATTTATCCAGGGCATGATGTTGTTTTGATTCATTCTGAACATATTTTATGTTAATAACCATTTCTGAAGTTCTGCTTTCTAACTACAGGATAACTGCTGTCCTAATGTACCACCAGATGGTCTCTCTTTAAAATCTGTGTCGATTGTAAATATTGACCAGATTAGAATGAGAAATGAGGAACGAATGCGTAGACTGAATGAACTTCAGAACAAACCTATCAATACAGGTAAATAGCCAAGTTCAATGGCCTATAGCAAATTTAAACTTGCTTACATGGAAGTCGTCACTGACGGCTGGGGGTAGATGGAGAGAGAGTTCTGTCCAGCAACCCCAGACCTCAGGATTACGTTTGTATCAGATTCTTTCTACAGAGAGGGAGCCCATTTTAGAGTGGATTCTAAACAGATAAAATAATTTTTGCTTATGAAATATATTCAGGCTTTGCTTTCTGTAGGGAAAATGCTGATTAGTATGGTATAGTACTTAGTACTCCCTTAAGTGAGAGATTATCTGAAATCAACTTTGAGTTCCCTAAATAACACACGTAAATTTATAGTACTGCAGAGTTATTTGGCTTTCCACACTATGGACAAACAAAATAGCTTCAGTTTAATATTTTCTAAGTCAAATAAAACTAGTCTTCTCATTTTGAGTGGACTTTTGTGACTTGGAAGTTTAAAGCTTGTCGTGGCGCACAAAGCAGGATGGTTCCTTAGACAGCTGATGAGCTCCTCTGCCAACCCTGTACCTACCCCTTTTTTATATCAGTGTTACTCGTCATTGGGATAATGAGACAATTTCATATTAGTAATAACAGTATTACTATTAGCCAATAGTAGAATGGTCCATTTGTGAAATACTCTTTAAAAAGGTATATACATTACAGTAGTCTTCTAGTAACAACTTTAAGATATTTTTAGATCCTACCTTTAATACTGTGATAATTTTTAAAAGGTACTCACATAATCTCTAGCAGTCAAGGTGTGATATGTTCTGTTGGTGATAATTCCATACCAAATACTAGCCAACATGGTAAATAGATGGAATGGCACTTTTCCTGTCATACCTAGAAAAATGTGAACAGTGGGAAAGTATAGGGGTCTTCGAGCTAAAAGGCTCTTCAATTTCTTTTACAACTAATAAACTGAATTAATATTTAACAAGGATATACTTGAGAGAAAATAGAGCATTTTTAAGAATCTGCTTTTCACAAGGTTTTCAATGTCTAAACTGTTTTTTGTTTAACATCCTTTCAAACAGGAGCTTTTTGGTACGATGTGGATTGATTGCACATTAAATTGATTGCACATATCCCTTTGCTGGGCTAATCCTTCACAGACCAGGAGATATATTTAAAAAAAAAAGAAATTGACATCACAGGGTAGGAAGACAGATTTTCCTATTATACCTAATAATAAGTAAAATACAGATATAGAAGTTGAATACATCAAATTTAATTAAAGAATGAAACAAATTAAGAGCTACCTCTTAATGGACTAGACATGGCATTCTTACATTCGGTGTAAGAATGGAAGTAATTTCTTCCCAACTAGTGCTTTCCCAAAATGACTTAATTTCCTTATAGCACTGTTACAGGTTGGGAGTATTCCCCTAACCAACCTAAAAAATAAAAGTTTTGCGTAGGTATCCACTAGGTTTCTCCTGAAGGTGACAGTTACAAAGTAAGATTGTCTATATTCCTCCACTCACTAATATTTGGTGGAGTCTCCTTTGATATACTTAGAATCCCTCTGGTTGCTAGTACCATGGAGTCAGCTTATTCAGTTGATTATTTTTTGTTTTACAAAATTAGCCCCTTCTTGGGCCTGCTCTCCTACCACTAAAATGGGAGGTCTGAACAAAACAAATACAATACAGTTCAGAACATAATATCGTAGGGAAGTGCCGCGTTGTAATGAGTTGGACTATAGGAGACCTGTGTTTGTGTCACCTGCCTGCCACTTGTGTTACCTGAGTCATGTGTCTCTTGCCTCCTGTAGATGACGATGAGAGTTCACTGGTTGACCCTGATGACATCATGAAACATGTGGGGGATGACGGATCAAACTCTGTAGCAACTGAGCCCTGGCTCCGCCCTGGCACCTCAGAAACACTGAAACACTTCATGGCAGAGCAGCTGAACCAGGAGCGGCAGCAGGTTCCTAGAAAACCAGGCACTTTCTCGTGGCAGGGCCTGTCTACTGCACATGGTTGAAATAAATGTTTTGGACTCAGTAGTGCCTTTTCAGGTAAAAGGAATGGTAAATCTGTACCTTTAATAAGTCCTACTTTTGGCCCCTACCTGAAGTTAATTACCTTTGTTCCATTTGTGTATAAAGTGTATTTTTTCAAAGATGTATATGATATATGTTATGTACATAAATAAAAGGCCGTGATTATTGACTTATATAATAGAACTGTATAGAATTATTTTTGCACAGTTTTGCCATAAATTGTGAGTGGTGATGAACTTTGGATTCAACTACCATATGTGCATTATTTTAAATTCTGCTTGTCAAGGTAAGGTGAATAAAACGTAAGTGTCTTAACAGTACTGTAAAACCAGAATACCCTAGTTACATGCACATTTGCCATCGTTATCTCTAGTCAGAGTAATTCATTCAGTAACTGCACATCTTGTAGCTGAGACTATTCCAGTTGCTATGTAATGAAAGAATCAAATGTGCTACTTACTTTCATGTCATTTGTAGCTACTGATTCCATGGAAATAATGGGAGCTGTAACTGATTTTATTCCCATGAGCCATACACTAAATTTATGTCTTTCTGCCTGTATTTTATTTTCGTGCCAATGAACGCATTGTCTTAAAGTTACGAATTTATGTGATTTGACTACTTCTTGATTGATAGAAATAAATTTTTACTTTTATTAACCAATGTCGATTTCTTATTTTAATTGGAAATTTAGGTTTCTAGAGGTTGAAGAGAGGAGAGGTAAAACACCCAGGGGTCAAGGACAGAGACTGGAATCTTTGTTCCACCACCATGGACCCTTGGATAAGTGAGTCAATTTTTCTAATCACTCTAAGTGATACTTCTCAAAAAGGAGATTCATTCAAATTCTGGGAAAGAATTCTGACTTGGATGGGAAGTCTTCAGTACCATGAGAGCCGAGAACATCTCACATACTGTTTCTTTGTTTCCTTTGACATAATTAATGATAGACAAGATCAGATGAGTTTGGCTACATGTAAATTTTATATTCAATATTTTCTTTTTTCTTTTTTTTGAGACAGGGTCTTGCTCTGTCACCCTGGGTAGAGTTCAGTGGTGTCAACATAGCTCACTGTAGCCTCAAACCCCTGGGCTTAAGCCTCCCAAGTAGCTGGGACTACAGGTGTGTGCTACCACACCCAGCTAATTTTTTCTGTTTTTGGTAGAGATGGCATCTCGCTCTTGCTCAGGCTGGTCTCAAATTCCTGACCTCGAGCCATCCTCCCTCCCGCCTTAGCCTCCCAGAGTGCTAGGATTAAAGGCGTGAGCCACCATGCCTGGTCCTATACTCAGTTTTCTAGATTTTTGTCCTTCAGTCATCTGAAAGTAAGAAGAAAGCCTCTGGCTCCTCTACTAGGGAGAGTCCTGAAACTACACCATTAAATACTAAACAACTGCCAGGTCATGTGAGGCACTTATCCGCAGACAGACAGATAGGAAGATCATGGTGTCTCCCAGCACTAGCATCCCACTGGGCTTGGACAAAGCTGTGTCTTGGCGGTAATAAATCTGGTGCACTCCTAAGTGCATTATTAAATTACTTTTCCTGTATTTAAACAAACAAACAAAACCCTCTTAAAATTGACATGTTCCATTGTTTTTTAAATGTCTTATACCACACAATTTGAACTGATTCCTAGTACACACAATATCATAGCAAACTGCCCCTCTTTTCAGCATTCTAACAAACAGCATAGAATTTTATGATGGGTTACTCATACACAAAATATTTAAAAATTATCTTATGGTTAAGAAAGTACAGTGTGAGGGATGATCTAATGCTAGAAGCTGGAAAGAAAATATCAGAACCAAAAAGACTATTCAATTTGTAGTTCTGGCTGAAAATATGCTTTCCATAATTACTTGGCTTTTAACGAAAAACCCGAAAACATGGGGTTGTGGGTTACACAGGTTTTGATCGCACTGATGAAATAATTCAAAAACTTTATTGACCTATAACTTGATTAGAATATGCCAGATGAGAATCAATATTGTACAGAAAGTTGTACAGAATTTTTTACATAGAAAACTTTACATCTGTACCATATACATTTTATCCATCTGAAAAAATTTTCTACATCCACTATTAATACGGAATGCTTGACAATCTTGTCTTTTAACCATCAGAACACAATTCACAGTATGAATACATTTCCAGTAAATCTAACCTCTGCAAACCATGCCAGATTTGTTATTTTAACATATTCAACATTAAATTCTGTACACAGAGTAAAATCTACATCAAGCCCCGCCACCCAAAAGAAAAGAAAATGACAGCAACCTAGATTCGTTTTGCAGTGATTCAAGTTTCGGTCCATAAAGGATCATTCTATTTTAATGGCTCATCTTTAGAAGCCCTAATAGAAGTATATATTACAGGTAGTTATGGTCAGTAGGGATATTTTCTACCTTTTTTTTTTTTTTCTTTCCCGTTGTTGATCTTGACAAGCATCAACCACAACAGCTTCTGGGCATGTTAAAGCCTCAAAATTACCACCCCCAAAAAAGGGCAAAACTAAAAATTCCCACAAAATAAAAAAGACAAAGTTCAACCCGGATGTTTAGTGCATTTGACAAAATATGGGTATTTAGCAAATGAATAAGAAAATAAAGAAAACAGTGCAGGAAGAACTATATAATGTTTAAGATTTTTATATTACAGACCTGCATCTCTGTACATTTTTCACAGAAGGATGATTACCAGTATCTCAGGTAGCCTGAGTGTGCAAAAATCTTCAGAATAAGAATACCATAGTTGCTAAATATCTTTTACCATGAACAATAATTTCTTCCTCTCCCCCCACCCCCCAATTATAAACATTTTATCCTTCAAAATACAGCTCTCCTGAGTTGTACTTCTTGCAGAAGTTCAATCTTTACATCTATAGTTCTTTGGGTAAGTTTCACTTCCACACCTGCCAAAAATATGTGGGGCTCACCCTGCCAGGGAGGACCCGTGAGCATAGCTGACACTGTTTGTTTACACATGCTTCCTGCTCGACATGAGCCCAACGCGACACACAGAACCCACCAGGTAAAGGGACTGGAGTGTTGCAAGTTTGAGTATTAGTTCTAAGCATCTTTACCAGTCATCCTCAGATACCGCAATTCAAAGAATTCATTTTCAGGTAGGAAACCTCGGCTCCAGGGTCCTTTTAAAGAGCAGAGGGATGTAAACACCAACAGAAAAATATTAAGTTCCCATCATTGCTTGTTTATTCCAAGTTCCTGTTCAGGTGGTTGTGATATCTGAAAAACTACTCCGATTCGCAGAAAAAATCTTCTAAGAACAGCACGAAGTTCAGGAATCAAGTCAAATTGCATAATTTCACATAAGAGAGGGTAGTAGAATGATGCATGAGCTTTAAACTAGGGGGAGAAAATGAATGTCTCCATTAGTAGTGCCTGCACTGCAAACCACAGAGCCTGACACTGCTAGAGTCAAACCACCCCGGGGCGCGCACCAATCACAGAGCAGGGAGGAAGGGCAGAGTCTGTGTCCCGCAGCGAGTCTGGGAAGTATGAGAGACACAAGTACTCAAAAGACTCAATAAATATGAACATTGTTCACTTGGTTACTATGCTTATTTTGAAAAACACTTTCCCATTACATACTTTTAACAAACTTATAGTAATTCAGCATTGTTTTTCCTGGGTAATAAGCAAAAGAAAGAAGCCGAGCAAGAACTAGAGTTGAGTTTTCACAAGATATGGGTTACTGAAACTGCATCTTTTGTTAAATAAAAATTTTAAGTTGTAGGGAAAATTCCACCTAACACTGCAATATAAAATATGTAAACATTCTCTAGGCAAAGCTATCTACATTCCACATGTATAGTTCAATTTATCTAATTCGACTATTCCTTTGCTGTGGTTCCTTAATCTCTGAACACTAGTCTGCTGCCCATTTTCTCTCCTTTCCTACCCCTCCATGCCCCACGGGATCCAGGGCAGCGGATTGACGCTGTGACCAGAAAGCAAGCTGTGGAGTAAGACGGACTGGGGTGTGGAGTCTGTCTTGGCCACACAGCTGCTGGCAGCCTTAGGTCACTTCTCCAAGCTCTCCTCAGCCCATCAGTCAGACGGAAATGCATGTGGAAACAGGGCATGTGACCTGGGATGAACACCTGTGTGGCACTGAGTGGCATCGCCCTGCCTCCACAGGGTTCCATGTGCCACAAGGGCCTGAAGTGTCAGGTATTAAGTACGCATTTTAAAACCTATCCAAGTTCACAGCAAAGCAACCCGTTTCCTTATATGTGAGCCGTAAGCTGCTATATTTTTTTAAATAGTAAAATGTATATTTTTTGAAAATCTTAAAATATGCATTTATATTTACAGTTATATATTTGTATTTTATTTCTACTGATTTAAAATTCTTGAATGAGCTCATGGCTCATTCACTAGAGACTCCGGGCTGCACAGAACCGCTAGATATGCCAAAGGAACGGCTGCAGCCTGGAGCACAGGTAGAGGGACGCAGGGGCCGAGTGTAAGGCCACAAGGTGGCCAAACAGCAGTTTTCAAAATGGAAGAAGGGGAGGCTCTGGAGTCAGAATGGGAATTCCAGTGTTGGGGGAACTCAGGAGGCTGTCAGGGTGTCCTAAGGGATTGATTCCTCTCCTACTGAATCCCCTGCAGAATGGCTGGTTAGAGAACAAAGCTGAGTGAGGAGGAGAAAACTGAGGACCACTGAGGTCTTAAGATAGGGCTGGGCCGCACGAGGTCCTGCACAGGCTGCAGTGCGGCCTGGGCACTGCTTGATCCACCTCTGAGAGCTCCCAGGCAGTGGGTCTGCGACCCGGCATCCCCGCCTTGGCCTCAGCCACAACGCGGGTCCGGCTAGAAATGCGAGGCTGGATACGAAGACTCGTACTTACCCTATTATCACTTATCTTTAGAACTTTAGTTAGAAACAAAAGCAGTAAGTTAGTCCAGGCTTCCCGATGACTTTCTGACGTTAGAGTGAGGAAGTAACTTAGTGCTTCGCTGCAGACACTGCAAAAGAAAAGGTTTCCCTGTACGTCACTTGCATACCTGCTGGTCCGCATACTCACTGAGAAAGAACATCAGTGACTATTGTAATGAGTATGAACTATTAAAGAACTTGTCAGATCCCATCTGTTTACATTAACTGGAACATCACCAAAAATATTTGTACATTTTTCAAATTAGGAAGAAAATCGAACATATTAAAAGAAGCCACTGCAACTTATTAGGAAACCCACATTCTCTTAATTTTCCAAGTTTCACTGAGTTCAAACCTGCAGTGTGGCAGACAGCACATGCATAAGCTCAGTGGTCAAGAGACCTGGGCTGACATCTGAGGTGACTCTCCCTTCACTGATTGTGAGGCGGCCTTCACAGTCTTGTCAATAAAACGGGAGAACAGAGACTAGGCGATCTCTTAAAATGCTAACATGTATTTAACTGGTCTCAGAACATCTATTTCCCAAGCTGATACAAAAATACAATGCAGATGATAGTATTCTTTCTGAATGTCATGTTTTGTCCTTAGCCTGACTTTAAATTTTAGTTGTCATGAAGTAAAAGAGAATGAAAAAAAGTAACACCAAGAAAAGGTCCTTTCAAACAAAATGCAGGTAGGCAGGTTTTCACTTTCACAAATGACTGTTCTGTAAAAATGGGGCTATCGTATGACATTAGAAAGGCCTAAAAATGATATCATAGTTTAAAGTTTTTAAATTTTAAGAGATAAAACTTTCTTCTTTGTCCTGTATGTTAGACATGATCTGTTCACGTCACCGGTTGTACAAAGCACATTTGCCTACAAGACTGTATGTGATTTTTACAATTGCTCTGTGAAACAGGGTCACCAGGCCCCACGGCTCAGCTGTCTGCTCCTGCCACTGCCCCTTTTCTGCTCCGCACCACACAGCCACCTGGGTCAAAGGCAGAGATCAGTCAAGAGTCTTACTTCAAAAGCCTCTGCTGGACCTCCTCCCAGGCACTAACCCGGCTCTCGTCCATGTACATCCGGAAGAGAATGCGCAGCCCACAGGCCAGGCTGCTGGTCTCCTGCTTCAGAAGGTTGGGCTTGGACTTGCCTTTGAAGCCTGCAGAAGGGGGAAGTTTCTGGGATTAGCGTGGGAAGGCATCACACAGAAAGGCAAAACGGCCTGCACGGAGGCACGTTTTGTATGCACTCAGCTGTCGGCACCTGCTGCCCACAAAGTGGAGCTGCCCTGAGCCACAGAGGCCTGCACCCGGGGCACATGGAGGCGATTTCTATGTTTAGAATCCCACCCCTGCCTGCCCCTCAAGCTGAAGATATAAGAATAAAACAACTTGTGGCCTGGGAAAGTGGGACCCACAGACGACGCTGTAGGAGGCGCGGCGTGGGGCTCCTGAAGGAACGGGCAGGGGGGCGACACCTCGTGGGTGACTGGTCGGGTGTGTGTGGAAACAAGCGTCTGGTCACCTCAGCATGAATAGTCCCAACCCCAGTCTTCAACTTGGGTTGAAGAGAGGGGAAAAAAATAAGTAGACACTACTCTTTGCAGAAGTTAGGTTGTAAAGGGAAGAGAATGAACAAAGCTGTTTTAAATAAAATAAGCAAACGCAAGCATCGAACCCTGCATCTGATAAAGAGTTTAGTGTTCAGTAAGTGTCAGCTCCCTTCTTTCTTTTCTTTGGCCACATTCTGCTGCCCCTCACTCTCTCAGCACTGTTTTGTACCTAACAGGCACTAAATATTTCTTAAATTAAAAATAATGTCAGTTTAATTTACAATAAGGCTTATTTTTTATTTAAAATTACCATCTTATTCTAAAACAAATATACCTCCTGTCCCAATACATTCACTTCCATTCTGAGGTATGGCCTCTCCCAGTAAACAAAGGGAAGCCATTCAGAGACACGTGCCAGTTCGTGTGCGGGAGCTTCCCACACGCCTTGCCCCAGACAAGCACAGCTTCTGCTGTGCTGACGACATCCACGGGAAGGCCCTGGCTGGGTGAACAAGCTGAAACAACGGTTGGCCAGATCAGTCAAGTAACCAGTCTCTTGTTGACTGAACAAGAGAAAAACAAATCCACCCAAGTAGTTATTTGGCTTATTGTAGATCAGAAAAAGACCTATTAGATTATCCTATTATTATTCTTATTGTTAAGGTCAAAGTACATGCAGTGACACCCACAATGAGTTCTGATAACCATCTGTCCCATGTCCATCAACAACAGTGAACATGAAAGTACGAGGCTGTGCCGCTCACCTGCTTTCCACAGAGCAGTCCTCTGTTCATTGTTGGAATTAAATGCTTTTGCAAATCTATGCGATTCTAATAAGCAGTCCAGTAGCTTAAAAAGTTGTTGTGATGTTAAAAAGCGATACATTCCTTGGTCTTGAGTATCAACTCGAACATCAAAGTCCACTGCATCTCTCTTTGGAAAACAAACCACCACGGCACACACACATGGTCACAGTAATTTTAGTAAATTTGGAACTTAATGCTCTCCAAAGACCAGTTTTACAAGCAAGCCATAGATACTCGATCTGCTATATCTTAACGGAAAGTAGGGAAATGTGCCCCTTCTGTTAAACATCCTCGTCACTAAGCACCACCCTTACGGGCCAGCCCCTCCTGCACCCCGAGACTCTATGGCCCTGCACCCCTCAGCCCCTCAGGTCCTCCGTCTCTTCTAAGCTGGTTGGGAGTCCAGGCACCATGATTTAATTGCTCTCTCTCACAAGCCCGCACCTTCCCTTTTCAGTAACTTGCTGGCAAAACTGCCTATTCCATGTCTGCATCCACATGGCCAACGTGGCTGGAGAAAACAGACTGGTTTCTCTTTACACCAACGGGCTCGGGTGCTGCCCAGCACCCCACCAACACTGCTCCAATCCACGTTCCCAGACAGACAGCTCATGTTCACTCCTCTCCTCAAGTACCTAAAATGTTCTTTCCAATCTCACGTGGTGGATGACTTTTTTCCCCGTCTCCGTGAGAAACCAGAAGCTAGCAAGAAGAGATCTCCCACAAGCTCCCACCCCTAATACGCCAGCCTTCCTGCACCCGCAGCCCACACCTGTCTATTCCAGGCAGCCCCCACTCTGCACGAGGAACATCCCCAGTCACTCGAAAATACGGTCCCAGCTAGGTGCCCCTCTTGACTGCACTCATTCTCTCTCTCCTTCCTGGAGAGCTCTCGGCGGCAGCACGCCGCCACACTGCCAGTCAGGAGGACAAAATGTGGCAAAGCCCTCTTAACCCGCTCACGTTCCTCCAGCTATCACCCCATCTGCTCTGTGCCCCTCTACAGCAAAACTCCTCAACAGAGGTATCAATATTTGCCGTCTCCAAATCTCTTTCTCTTGGATCCATTACAATTACGCTTTTGTCCTCAATGTTAAAATTAAACACGTTGCCAGGGTCACCAAAGTCCTCCAGATAGTTAAAGGGCAATTCTCACACGTACTATGACTTGACTGTCCGGAGCACTTAACAAGCATTTGATCACATCCTCCTCCTTAAAACACTTCCTTCGTCTGACTTCGCAACACCGACACTACTCCCCGCGCCTCACTGATTCTCATTCTCGGTCTCTACCGCTGCCTGTCTCCAGGAGCTGTAGAAGTTAAGGCCCCAGGCTCCAACCCTGACCCTCCTTTCTGCTCTAGCCACACTCACTACTCCGTGACGGCACCCAGCCTCACGGCTTAAAATGACATCTATGTGATGACGCTCTCCCAAATTAGCCTCTGGCCTGACCTGTTGTGCTCTGAGGCCCAGACTGCTTAACTAACTTCCCAACTACACATCTCATGGTTCCTTACCTGTGCTGCAGCGAAGTTTTCCGCATCTTCTTTTTTACTTGTGGCTGGGAAGAACACAATGTTGTCGATGGTTTGGATGAGCTCCAGCTGCACAACACATTTAATCAACAGGGCAGCAAACAATTTTTGTTCTGGAAATTCTGTGAGGAAACCCCCCCAATGCACATGCAAACAAAAAATTATTTTGAATCCTTTATAATTTCTATGACATTATAATGCTAAGGAAACATTACTATGTATGCACATATCACACTGAGAAGGACATTCTGCTTTTGCACATAGGTACTACTCAGTAAAGTTTAATCAATATTTTTAAAAGCCTTAGGAAAGTCATTTTTAAAATAAAAGTACCCTACATGATTCAGAACAGTGGATATGTTCAAGATGGTTCCACTACAAATTTTTAAAAAAGATTCAGGTTTTCAAATAAAATGTAACAAATGGATAAAAACCCAAAACTTAAATAATATTTGCTGTAAAACCAAGTCTGATCTTTGAAAATAGGTAACCTAAGAGCCTATGCATAAGAAAACAAGAGGAACCGGACCTGCATGAGTCAGGAAGTGAGGAATCCCGTGCAGTACCGCGCTGTGGCCACAGCACACGTTTTATTTGGATCCAGATTAGCAGTTGTGGCCAAAATTACCTTTTATTTTCAAATGAACCCATCAGCAAAGAAATCTATAAAAAGTTATGCTAAGCTCATTCCTACAAAAGTAACCAAAACACAAAGTAAAAAAGTGTCAGCTGGGACGTGGCTACACCTCTCCATCCTGAACAAACCTGCTCCCCAGGGTGTTTCTGACAATCCACCAGTCTGCGTGACCTATTCTCAAGAGAACGTTCCCTGTCCCTGACCTGCCAGCTGAGCAGTTACATACACGTAGAAGCGCGAGGCCAGAAAGGAGGACTCGACGCCTGAGACGCTGCAGAGCATGGCCGCAGACCACAAGGCCACACCTGATCCCAGGTTCTCAGCGGCAGCTTTTCCAGGGAGCTTTCCAGGGGGCAGAACGACTGCCCAGGAGGAGCTGCCTGTTAATCAGCCTCGAAGCAATGGCTCCAGCTCTGGATGACTTACAATCCCTCAGTTTCTTTCTCCTGTAAAAAGCACTTTACTACAAATCCCCTTTTCTGGCACCAATTTGTGAAAGTTAAATTCATGCTTTAGGGATTGGGGGGAGGGGGTAGAAATAACTTGCTTAATCAAATTTATTCTTACTGAGTTCATTAATAAAGTCTCCTTTCCAGGTATTTTTCAGAAATGCTGTTCTATTTAACATTTGGTTCTTAGTACCACATCTCAAGTTAAAAAACAAAATAAAACAAAGAAACGCACAAGTCCCATGGTTGTCTCTTCCTCTCAAGTGTATCTTTCATAGTCCTTTACTACAGTGACAGTGGCATATGATGTCATTCATTCCCTCCCTCATAAAAACATCTCGGTGCCTGGGGCAAGAGACTCCAGTAGCACCCGGGCTGCAGGAGAGACTGTGCAGCAGGCGAGGTCTGAGCGGTGTAGTCTCGCTGTTCTAACGTGAGCTGCTCACGGTGCTAAAAGCTCTCAGCAGGGTCCTGGACACTCGTAATGACCCCAAGAGTTTGGCAGTGAAGCTGTACTCTGAACAGGGAAGCTGAGCCTTGCCACGCTCTCTAGTGCCCTTTGAGAGATGGACGGGGATCCTAACTATACTAGCAGGTCCCTTACTAGCAGGGACCAGCAGCACATTTGGGGACAATATCTACTTGGACAAATTTCACTCATGACATGGCTTGACACTGCAGAGGCAACCATTTTACCAGTCACCATAAAATAGCAAAGCAAAGCAGATTTTAACTACATGAGACTGTGGGCACTGAATCGAGACCTGACAGAGCAGTGGTGCTTTCCGCAAGTGCGTGGAAAGAATGAGGCAGCTGCCTTTCAGACAGGGCGAAGTCCTCAGGTTTGTGCTGTGATTCTTTTCTCTGAGGAGGAGAGGCAGCTGGCAGCCAGCCTCATCAAACAGAGGAGCCACAACCTATCCACCAAGTGAAAGGACTCATGGGCCATTTGTTTTTCCCTCCAGCTCCCCCTGTTCCGAGTCAGCAATTCCAGGATGAACCTTACCAAAAACCTCCAGGGGAGTGAGAACAGGAGGTCTGGCATAAGGACAGAAGTCTGAGTCCACAGCTCTGGGTGGCAGGAAAGCAGAACCCTTGTCCCAGGAAGAGGGGTATTCCCAGATTAGCCAAATGAAAACTTCCTAGTGTGTGATGACCAAGTCCCTTACTCGCAAAGCTAAGTTTGCTTAGGTTCAGTCTTCGGGCTGAGAATGAGAAAAGCCATTCGCAATTCTGTCCTTCTGGCCTTTTCTGGTGCAGATTGAAGCTGCAATGAATTCCTACATGAACCATTCTGTTCTCTGGAGAACAGCAATAAAAAATGAAAATGGGACACTCGACAGCACCTAGGTCCCCTTTTAGAAGTTAGCAAGATACAATGACTGAAGCTAAGAAGTTTCTTTCAAGTAGGATACCAAGCCTATCCTCTCTCAAGAACTGTAAGCATCTAGGATTAATAAAAAATTCTCTGCAAAAAATTGAATCGAATGGATCAATGACCTAAATATAAGAGCTAAAAGAATAAAACTCTAAGAAGATAACACTGGGGAAAATCTTCATGACCTTCAATTTGACTATGAGTTCTTAGCTATGAAACCAAAAGCATGACCAACAAAAGAAGAAAAAAAAAAAAGTGGACTTTATCAAAATGAAAAACTTCAGTGCATCAGATCTTATCCAGAAAACAAAAAGATGACTTACAGAATGGAAGAAAATAAATATTTGCAAATAATACATCTGATAAGGGTCTAGTATCCAAAGTATATAACAAACTCTTACAATTCAACAACAAAAAGACAAACAATGCAATTAAAAATGAGCAAAGGACATGAACAGAAATTTCTCCAAATAAATTTTCCCTTATTTCTCCAAATAAGGCCAATAAGCACATGAAAAGATGTTTAATATCACTAATCATTAACAGCACTATTCACAATAACCAAAGGTAGAACAAACCCAAATGTCTATCAGCAGATGAATGGAAAAACAAAATGGCACATACATACAATGGATTGTCACTGAATAAAAAAGGAATGAATTACTGATTCATGATACAACTTGTATCTTGAAAACATTATGCTAAGTGAAAAAGCCAGACACAAAAGGTCACATTTTGTATGATTCCATTTATACAAAATGTCCAGAATAGCCAATTCATAAGCGCAGAAAGCAGAAGGTGGTTGCCAGGGGCTGGGGAAAGAGAGAAGAGGGAGTGGCTGCACAGTCGTTACCGGTGTTTCCTTTAGGAGTGATGAAAATATTTTGGATCTAGAAAGAGGTGGTGGTTGTACAACACCATGAAGGTACTAAATGCCACTGAATTGTTCACTTGAACATGGTTACTTTTGTTACATAAATTTCACTTCCATTTTTTTAAAAAGTGCTCAAAGCTGTCCTCCTTTTAGGAGGTGGTAGTCTTTCCTAGGGGTTATAATTTTACTTCAGCAAACAAAACTGAGGCAATTTAGTTTTTTAAGTGAGGGGCTCCCCTTGTTTGTGAGAAGTGAGGGGAAGGACAGAGGTGGCTGGCTCCCATGTGGAGCTGTGGGTGTGGGCAGCAGTGGGGGAGATGAGCACAGGGCCCACGAGAGAGGGCTTGCTCCTTAACAGGCAGGGTGCTCCTGCTTAGAAAGCAGTGGTCCCTCACCAGTTCCCCCGGCAGATGGGTGGAGGAAGGCATGTTAGGCCCCATTTTTGCAGAGAATATGGGGCTGGTATGCAGAAGGGGATGGAGAGGGAAGATTCAGGTGCTTGACACAAACATTAGCTGAATGCACTGTGGAAACAGCTGCCATTGCAGGTATCACTGAGTTCTTGACCTTCCGCAAGACAGCATCTATCAGGGGATGTCCGAGTTGGGGTAAACACAGTTAAAGAAGTGATTACACAATCAGAGTATATGCTTGTTAATAATAAAAGCAAAACCAAAAATGTCATCCCTTTCCTACATAAAACACATGTTTTTATTTAGAGAAATAACTCACTCGCTGTAGATTTAGTTTTGCTGACTTCTTCATTCACAGTAGAGACAGAAACCAGTGGTGCTTGCTGTCTATTATCTGCAGATCTTGGTTGAATAGAATCATGAATATCTACAGATTTCTGTGATATTGTATCCTAATAAAATAAAAAATTAATTATAAGTCTGGTGAATAAAGCTTATGGATGAAAATATTTTCTATTAAACTGTTTTTAAAAAATTATATTATGTCCCTATAAAATCGCATTCTACACATTGCAATTATACACACAATGAGAAAAGTACGTAAAATTACCTGTACCTAGATAAAAGCTGATAGTCTTTCAGAGAAACACTTCCTTTCTGACCCTCACTGGGCTCAGGCCTGACACCATCCAATGGCAACAGGTAAAAATGCTAAGCTTCAATGCATGGAAAAACTAGTCAGCAATGCCCATAAGTGTTCATGAAATCTACACAGAATGAATGTTTGGCAGAGAGGAAGGGTGAACCCAGGGAAACTCTGCAGGGCTAAGTTTAAGGAAGAACAAGAAAGGTCAGTGTGAAGGTCACTGCCTAGAAGTGTGGTGTCAGGAACAAAAACTGGACACTGAAATCAAAAAGACCTCCACAAGAATTCTGCTCCAGTCTTATTAATAATGTAACCTTGGAAAAATGATTAATCTTTCTGAGCTGAGGTTTTCTGATCTGAAAATAGAGATGACACTTTCCTTGCAGGTTAAGAACTAGAGGGAATAAATGCAGAACATTAGCACAGAGTCAGGTAATGAATGGCAGCTGACACTATTACTAGTCTGGCTTTATTTTGTTCTAATAGTACAGCCCATTCAGAGAAGAGACAACCTGGTTTTAGGAGGAGCGCTTGGCTCCTGTTATTCTGAGATAACAGTCCTGGCCTACAGCAACCTTGTCTGGGTTTGTGAAAGAAAGATGGGCCTGTGTTACCAGAAATAGTATTAATCAAAACAATATTTTAACTGGGACTTAAAATATCATAGTTTATGATCTTTCATTTCCTGTTCTGCACAAAACAGGGGTAACAGGTACCAAACCAGGTCCGCGAAACTCCTGGAAAGACCAAATGTGAAAACATTTTAAACAGTAAAACGCTACACAAATCTAAAGCCATATCAATATTATTATGATGGTTCTTACCTATCTTTGCAAATGTTTAACACATAAGAGGCTCTGAGTAAAAATTGCATGGATCCAATAGTATTTATATTTGAACATGACGGCCAGCCTAAAATACTTGCTTTTTCTTCTTTTCTTTTTATAGTAACACATTTTGTTCTCATAAAATACATTTTAAATAAAAATTTACATGTAAGAATGCTTATAGCAGCACTTACAAAATTATAATTTAAGGGAATGCTTATTGTTTAAAAAACTATAAACAGGAAATGTAAACGTATGTATTTTAATAAGCACATTTTTAAAAAGGAATTAATCAGTTTTTAGAATTAAAAATATATTGTCTACTGAAGAGAAATGAAAGCACTGGTTTTTAAATTTTTTTGGTCACTGGTCCTTTTGAACACTCTAATAATTTCTAAAAACTTTTCCCCAGAAAACTAAACAGGCGCAAAAACTAGGTCATAAAATCAGGGGTTTAAAAACCTTCCTCTGTATTAGAGGAATTTTGGAATGTCAAGTTCTTTGCTTTCTCACAGCTCTGCACCAGAACTAGTATGCTCACATTTCCCCTTCAAAAAAGGGCACTTTAGTGGTAAAAGAGTACCTATAAAAGAAATCTTGATGTATTGATATGGCAATATCTCCTAAATATTACAAACATAAAAAGTCTCCGGAAATATTATATATGTAAATGCACAGAAAACAGATGGAAGGAGATACAGTATTAACTACAGAAACTGGGTTTGGGGTAGGTGGTAGTATAAAAAGAGACTTATAATTTTTATCCCATATTCTTTCATACTGTTCAAAAATACATATATTTTTTATAGTGATAGGGTATTTTTCTATTTCTAATTTTAGAAAAGTAGTCCTTGAATGCACAGCAAGAAATAATTCGGCTGAGAACGGCAGTGAAAAAATGCCACAATTTACTGGCAAAATCTAAGTAGTACAGAGAAGAGAAAGACAAAGAAAGCAGGGTGGAAGAAGAAATGGTAGGTATTAGAAGTGCCAGCAGCAGTAGCAGCAGCAACAATAAGCGGCTATTAAGAGACCAAAGCCAAGACACAGTGCTGCAGCTCTCAGAGAAGCCAGGCAGTGAGGAGGAGTCTGTGAGCTGGTCTCAGGGGCACCCGGTGCCTCAACACTGAATCCAAGAACAGGCACAGTCATAGCGCTGGCTTTACCTGCATGACCTGATTTAATCCTCAGCCTTACTTTACAGATGAGGGTAAGTGACTTGCTGAAGGCCACAGAGGTAGCCAGTGCAGAGCCAGGATTTGATTTGGGCTGACGTCAAAGCCCACACCACAAATTCTATGCCGTACAGAAGAGGGAACAAAGCCAAACACGAGTGCAAGCTCATTCCGGGCTTGCAACCGGACATCCTAAGAAGTAGTATGAGGTATGCACTGAATGGACAACTTCGGCAGATCAGAGTCATGGAGCAATATGACCCCAGTATGCCAGATGTCACAGTTCTCAAGAGCAATTCAGAACGATGTTTTTCTATGAAATCCAAGTTTTAACCAATGACAATTAGTTAAGCAATTTAAAAGTTGCGAGGGACAAATCTGGCAAAAGGGCATTAGTTTGCTACTTACGGCCTCCTGGGTTTAAAACTCAAGGGTATTAGTGGGAGAACAGTAGAAATGTGAATAAGGCCTATAGATTAAAATAATAGTACTGATTTAATGATGATGTCCTTATTATTAATTATACTGTGGTTTTGAAAACTATACTTTTATTCCTTAAAGGAAACACACACTAAAAAAATCTAGGGATAGATGGGCATTATATCTGCAAGTTACTTACAAAGAATTCAGAAAATGGGGGAGAGGGGAGGACAGATGTAGCGGAGTGAGAGAAAAAAGAAAGAGGAAAGGAGGGAATGATGAAGCAAATGTAGTAAAATGATAACATTTGGAGACATCTGGTGTAATAATTAGCTTGGCTAGGGCATACTACCAATGTCCTATATACTTACACCAAATACTTAAGCTAAAGGACAGACAATTAATTCAACACTGTTGCTGTGAAGGTATTCTGTAGATGTGGTTAACATCTATAGTCAGTTGACTTTAAGTAGATTATCTACAATAATCTGGGTGGACCTCAAGCAATGAGGTGAAGACCATAAGAGCAAAACTGAGGTTTCTGTGAGGAAGAAGAAATCCTGCCCATGGACTGCAGCATCAGTTCCTGCCCAAGAGTTTCCAGCCTGCCCTAAAATTTAAAACTTACCAGCCCCACAATCAAATAAGCCAATTTCTTGAGATCTCTCTTTCTGTATCTCCTACTGGTTCTGTTTCTCTGGCCCTGATATGTATTTTGATACCATGAAGTGGGGTGCTGTTCTAACAAACAGCTACAAATGTGGAAGTGGCTTTGGAATTAGGCAATGGAAGAGTTTTGAGGCATCTGACAGAAAACGCCTAGGATTGCCTTGAAGAGACTGCTGATAGAAATATGGATATTAAATGTGATTCTGGTGAGGGGTCAGAAGGAAATGAAATGTATGATAGAGAATATATGGTCATGAATAGATTATTGGTACAAACATGAAGGTTAAAAGGTGCTTCTGGTGAGGTCTCAGAAGGAAATTGGGAACATGTTATTAGATACTGGAGGAAAGGTGATTCTTATTATAAAGTGGCAGAAAACTTGGCTGAATTGTGTTTCACTGTTGCGTAGAAAGCAGAATTTCTAAGTGATGAACTTAGCTGAGGAGATTTCCAAGCAAAGAGTTAAAGGTGTGGCCTGGTTTCTCCTTGCTGCTTATAGTAAAACATGAGAAAAAAGAGATGAATTGAAGAAAGAACCGTTGAAAAGGAACTACTACCACTTGATGATTTGGGAGGGTCTTGGCCTATGCAGATTGAAAAGGAAGCTAAAATTAAGAAATTCACTGTTAGGAAAGCATGCCTGGATAGAAGGCCAAGGCTATGGCTGGACAACTTTTTGCCAGAAGAGATCAGGTACGCGACTAATGATCTAAATAACAATCTCAGCAGACGGCAGGAACAGAGCAGGGTTATCCAGGAAAGATCTGTGGATAACCTTCTTGTTTAATGGCATGGATTCTTTTAACACACACAGGAGACCCATAAAGAGTCTGAGAATGATATACCAGTAGAAATACAGCCAGCCTGGACTGAAAAGGACAGAAATGGAATAAAATGAAGAAGGACTGTCGGACTTCCAGGATTCTACAGGCAGAAAATGGGCTGATAGAGCTACTTGGCTGCAAACATGTGCTAACCTTTAAGAAAAAGGAGGAGTAATTCAGAGTACAGAGCTGCCAGCCCAGAGGAAGAAGCCACAGGCCCAGAGGGTGGAACATCAAGCCACAGAGTGTTATTCTCAGGCTTGAAAACTCAATGGAATTTGTTTTCTAGGATCACTAGTCCACAGATGAAGATGAATTTTGTCTCAGAATAGATCATACCCAGAGTGTCTCATTCATTCTAAATCTACATGATGGATTTGAGACTTGTTGCAAAATAATGATGTATTTAGAGGGTCTTTTGGACTTAGTGTTGATGCTGTAATCAACTGAGACTTCCGAGGATCTCAGAAGGAGGCGAATGTCTTTTGCCCACTGAATGGACATGAATTTTTAGATGCCAGAGGGTAGACTGTAGTGCGTTGAATAATAGGCCTCAAAAGATACGTTCAAGTCCTAACCCCTGGTACCCGTGAATATTACCTTACTTGGAAATAGGGTCTTTGGGGGATGTATTATTAAGAATCTTGAGATGAGACCATCCTGGATTTAGAGTGAGCCCTAAATCCCACGAGTAATGTCCTCATAAAATTAAAAGAGGAGAGAGAGGGAGATTTGATACACAAATGCACAGTAAGGAAGGCCATGTTTAGATGGAGGGGGAGACTGGAGTGATGTATGAACAAGTCAAGGAATGTCAAAAGTTGCCAACAGCCACAAAGCTGGAAAAAGGAAGGATTTTGCCTTAGAGCCTTTAGAGGGAATGTGGCCCTGCTAACCCTTTGATTTTGGACCTCCGGTATTTGGAACTGTGAGACAATAAATTTCCATTGTTTTAAGCCACCAAGTTTGTGGAAATTTGTTACATCAGACCAAGGAAACCAATACAATGGGTGAAGAGTATATTAGAATTCTTTGTACTGTTTTTGTAACTTTTCTACAAGGTGAAATTATATCAAAATAAAATCAAAATAAAACGTTTAAATAAAATAAGATCCAATATCTTCAGCTTGGCATGGAAATTGCTATGTAATCTGGTACCTTTCTCTTACAACCTTTGAAAAATCATTTGCTCTATGTCCTACATTAAAAAATTTAACCTGAGAATTCTGGAAAGCAAATTTATACCATCTTAAGAGAGTTGAACTCACTGCTATGGTTTGAATATTTATGTCCTCTCCAAAATTCATGTTCCAACTTAATCCCCAATGCAACAGTGTCAATAGGTGAGGTCTTTAGGAAGTGACTAGATCATGAGAACTCTGCCCTCATGGTTAGGATAAGTGCCTTAAAAAAAGGAGGGAACTAACTAATCCCTTTTTTGTCCTTCCGCCTTCTGCTACGTGAGAATATAGCAACAAGGTGTCATCTTGAAAGCAGAGAGCAGCCCTCACCAGACACTGAAACTGTTGGGGCGTTGATGTTGGACTTCTCAGCCTCCAAAGCAGTGAGAACAGAAATTTCTGTTATTTATAAACTACTCAGTGTCGGGTGTTTTATTATAGCAGCAGGATGGACTAAGAGACTCACACAAGAATTTGACCCACAGTAAAATTACTTATCACAAATAATTAATTTAAAATATGCTTTATTTGTTAAAACTTACCAATGGTTTTTCACTCACAGGAGATGGAGGTGGATGCGCAATTTCTCCAGAAGTAGGACGCCAGGTCAAGAGCCTTTAAGATACCAAAAACACACCAATCACTGGGGGTGTGCCACATGCCATGTACAGCATATCTTGAAATGGGCACAAGAAAGTCACAACATACCAAATAACATATTTCACATTTGACTACTGCTAAGAGCAATTTCCTAAAAAATAGTAAAAAGTTTAAAATACGTACTTTCAGAGAGTAATTAAGTAGCATTTAATATAATTAAAAGGGTAATTTGGTTATTGGCTTTACATTAAAAACCACTTTCTGAAAAAGTTTTTAAAACTTGAAATCTACTTTTTATAAGTATTGTCATCAAATATTTTCCAAAGTAAGAATTTTTAAAAGTTTGAGGTTTTTCAGGAAATTCATAAAATTAAAACTAAAGGATTAAAATTCATATAACTCCTTAGATTCTATTTTTAAAGAATATATAAAAATAAATAAAGCAAAATTTGGTCCAAAAGAGAAATTAACTTGTCACCCCTGAATTAGGTGCTTGGGATAAAAAAATCGTTAACGTTAAGGACTAAGTTCTTGTTTCTGAGAAGCAGGAACTCCTGGGGAATAGGACAGACAGATGGCGAACAGATAATTTCAGTTCAATATGGAAAATATTCTGGTACAGATATCTTCTATTAAAGGATGCTTATTAGATGATCTTTACAGTCATATATATTATCCTAAGTGTATAATTCAAAAAATTAAAACAGAAGCAGTTCTTACAAAAAAGAATGTACAGCCAACTTGGTTTTTGTAAAGATTTCATAGAATAGCTAGGCAAGAATTCATGCTGTCTTTGACAAAAGGTCACAGACAAACTCTGACAGACATGGATCATTTGTCAGTAACTCACATTGCTCCAACAAAAAAGTACACCAAAAAATAAGAAAAGTTATACAACAGTTGGAAATAGATCAAAGAGATTAATGTGTGGCCTTTCAGTGTCCTATTAATATTT